AGTTATATTAATACGTGTATTAATCAATGCGGTAATAATAAAAATATATAATGCACTTTTTTCGTTATCTTAAAGATATCGAAAGATAAGTTACCTAATAAAAATGTTTCATTTATAATTACTATTTAGTTTAAATAAGTTTAATACTTGTTCTTAGTTTTTGTTATTTTCGAATTAATTTTGTTTATTATCTTAAGTTTTTGTAAAATTTTTCAAATTATGACTACATTATTATGGGGCATTACATTCTCTATTCGGTTTTGGATTTTTTAAATGTTAATGTGGCGGATGCTCACGTGACTCTCGACATGGAGATCAAAGGTACCGACACGAAGTGTACCTACTGTTTATACTGTGCTTAAAATATGAATTCAATTCATATGACCTCAAAACAAACAAAAATTCTTCTCTGGACATATGCTCGCAAACACTTCGTTCAAGAGATATTTACTTCTTAAGTTATATACAGAACTGTAGGAATGAATAATTGAAAGATCTCTTGTTTTTATTTTGAAGCTCGAAGGCCAGGCTTTTGTTCGCAAAACTCGTAGTTGTAGCTCGTAGTTTGTAACTATTAATTTGTTGAATGCTTTTGTAGAATAAACTTATAATCATGCCTCGTATTCTAATAGTGAATATGCCGATATTTATATGGGTTTTTTGACGGAAATGCTAACGCTGCTCGCCGTGAATACACTGCGATTTCCAAACAGAAGATTGCCGGATAAATCAATATTCTCTTTCACGACATTTCAACGACCGAAGGAAATTGATTAAGAGAATTAATTAAAATCATTTAATATGATTCCCTGGGCTGATGCAGTTTTTGCACCACTGCAAAATGAAAAAAGAACAGCCATATATTGTAGTATTTCGATCAAAATCCATCAATAAGTACTCGGAGATCTTGTTTTACGTTAGGAATAGCGTTGGAGGTACAGACTTCTATATATACTACTTGACTGCCAACTTGTTTGAAAAAGTGGCCCCTAACTTTGATGTAATATTATATGCATGAGCTCCGCGTGACGTATATCTGCGCATGCGCACACATCAGCACACTATTTTGACAGATTAACCTAGGTCTGTTTCCTGTGGCTGAACTAGTGTACACTTTTGGAACTTAAAATGAGATAGGTGTATACATTTGATATTTATTGAAAGCGAGAAAGAGAGTTCTAGTGCAGTCTAGTACAGGAACAGAAAACAGACCACTAATTTAACAGTATTAAAACTACCAAATATTTATTTTCATAATCCAGCTATTATAAATTATTCTAATTTATATAAAATTGAATACGATCGCATTTTTTATACACGTTTACTAATATTCAATTGTCTTTCCAATATCTTTACCTTTTTACTTGAACTTTTTCTCTTTCAAAAGAAACAAAATTTTTCGCTATGAGATCATACCACTTTCATAATGTTATATCTTTGGGCTGAACAGTTGATGCAAAACACAACCATACTACATTCCTTTGAGTTTATTCGTGACGCATGCGCAGAACTACCATACAATTTTGGGGTCCATTTTACATAAGCTTGTGCTAAGGAATTAACAGTCTAGTAGTATATAGAGAGGTCTGTGGTTGGAGGTCATTA